TGCAAAAATAAATAAATAAATAAATAAATAAATAAATAATCAAAGACTCTGCTTCCCAGTGTTCAGCAGGGGTCTATGTAGAGGGGAGTGCAATTCATTGCTAAATGTACAAGGGACCAAATTTATCTTCTGTCTGCATAAGAGGAAAAACGAAGTCGCCCACAGAGAAGAGGTGGGGTCCTCTCCCAAACTGGCCCACTCCCCCTTTATTCGGTACTGTCTCACCGGTGCCCGTCTGCAGGGCCTCCTGGCCAGCCGGCACCGCACAGGACATACCCCACCTTCTTCCTGAGCCCAGCCCGGCACCCAGCTGGAGTTGTCTCCCCAGCCAGCTAGACCAGAGACCTTCCTATGCAGGAATCCAGCCTTTTAACCCACAGAGAGAGGGCGGCGAATGCGAATGGGCTTCCAGTTGTTATTTGTTAAGTTCTCAGGGAAAAATAGAAACCATTAGCATGTTAATGACCCAGCCAGACTGCAGCCACAGCGTCCTTCAGCCCGGAAGCCCCGGACCCCAGGCTGATGGGTGAGTCGGGTCCTGCTGCCAGGTGTAGAAGGTCAGAGCCAGCCAGCTGGGGAGATCCGAGGGCAGACACAGGAAGTGTGGTCCTGACTCTGGATTTGGTTAGATGGCTTGAAGTCAAAATAAACACAGCTTGGCCGTGGCAGTTCTGGAATGTTCTGGGCCAAGCTCACTGGCCTACGGAAGCGGGTGAGGCGGAGCTGTGACTGGGAATCGCTCTCTCTGCTCTCTGGTGTGCAGTCCTCAGACCCCACCGGTCTGCAGGTGCTGCGTGGATGCTCTTGAGCCCTTGGTGGGGAACAGCTCTGGGGCCCCCCGCCCAGCTGCAAGTGTCTGATATACTGCCGGGCACCAGGTGCCCCCTCTGCATGCCTGGACACCTTCCCATACTGGCATGGCCAGGCTGAACCCCACCATGGCCAGAGGGGAGCCTTCTCCCCACCCCCCACAAGGAGAGTTCTAGTTTAATCCTGAGGCCTGGTGGACCCAGCAACCACAGGCACAGGGCCCCCAAGACACTGTCCTGCCTCGGCCTACACCAAGGACCAGACACTGGAGAACTCAGGGCAGGTAAAAGCTTCCTATGCTCCAGCTGGGCCTCATCAGGTAACGCCGGGCCTCCCTGTAGTAATAACTTTTTTTTTTTTTTTTTGAGGTTCCCCTGATCAAACTCGGACCTTGAGCATGCCAGTCAGGCCCTTAAGCCACTGAGCTGTCTCCCCCACCCTCCCTTTAGTAATTAGAATTAAAGCTTAGGAGCCACTTGTGACTCTAGTCATGTTTATAAATGAAGCTGGAAGTTGCCTTGAATTTGGGGCATCTTGGAACCAGCCAGGAAATGCCCTAACTACTTAATCCCCCATGGGTGGTGGGTGCTAGGGACTGAGATAAAAAAATCAGGGGAAGAGGGTGTGGTGGCGCATACCTGTGATCCCAGCACTCTGGGAGGCTGAGGCAGGATGATCACAAATTTTAGCCGCGCCTGGGCAATTTAGCAACTAGCCACACTGTGTCTAGAGGAAATCCACAGAGAGCCCCTGGCAAGGCTGAGATGGCCTCCGCAGAGGAGGGCCAGGTTCCTAGGCTTCGTCCGGGCAAGTCCCCCGCCCCTCAGGTCCCGAGCATCGCTGCAGGGGTGCCTCCAGCCCTCAGCATCCGGCAGAGCAGCCTCACCCCCCGGGTGGGCACAGGTTCAAGGCCTCTTTCTTAGGAAAACAAAGGTAAAAGCCAATTTCAATAAGGAACACTGGAGAATGAAGCATCAAAGTCCTAAGTGGCTCCCCCACCCCTCCAGCACCAACCCCAGCAAGTAATGGAAGAAGCTTTTCCCCACAGAAGAGAAAGAAAACAGGCGCTGGTGCTCTGAGACTGCCTCGGGGCCCCCGCGGCGCGGAGGCGATGGGCAAACGGGCGGGTGGGCAAGACCCCGCCTCCGCGTTCTCATCCGCCTGTCCCCTCCCAGCCCTGCGGTGCTGGGCTTTGTTATGGGTTCGAGTCCCGCCTCCAGCCCACCTGACGGTCCTCCCGCCACCCGCAGGGCTCTGGTGCAGACTGGAAGGTCCCTCGGAAGTTCTCGCCCAAGTTCAAAACACCCTCCGGGGCCGGGGCTCCCCAGTTTCCTCCCCGGACATCTCAGCTCCAGCCACCTGGGACGCGCCGCTTTGGCAAGTGCCCTGCTCCCGAGGCCCAGGTTTTCGTCGGGGCATCTGACCATGACCCTGTGAGCCGAAGCCACCGCTGAGTCGCGTTTCCCCCGCTGCACTCCTACGCGCTCTGGAAGGCCGCAGGATGAAGCGCTTCCCCGCCAGGTATGAATCCACCTTGATCCCCAGCTCTGTCTGACTTCTTGTCCTGCTGGAATCGGGGCAGTTCCACCCACAGCGCTCAGCGTGCGGCTTCTCCCGGAAAACCTGCGAACGTCCGCCGAGACCCGTCCCGCCCCGCCGCCAGCTCCTAGTGTTTTCAGGCCTGTCAGCGGCTCTGCCAAAGAAAAAACATCTTTCCTATTCGCGGATAAGCAGATCCGTTTACAGGGAGTTAAAAATCACCTTCTGGA